CGTTGTCATGTCTGGAGACAGGATCTTCATCCTGTTGAGCTTCACTTGGGGAGGCTGCTATAATATACAGGCTGGAGGTTTCCTTCAGCTGGCTCAGCTGATCTGAGCAGGGGTTGTAGCTGACAGAGCAGGGGCAGCAGGTGCAGTGTTGCTGATATCAGACCTGAGATCAAAGTTTGTTGAGGTTGCCTAATTTTATTTAGCTTTATTTGGGTGCTGCTGCATTTGCCAGGCAAAAAGCTGCTTCATCTGAGAGAACTGCATGTGGTATCTGCCTCTGCTGCAGTTCCAGTTTGCACGTGAACAAATCCTCTCCTCTAGCTACTATTTGGGCAGAAATAATACTTATTTTCTCCCACCACCACCACCTCCAAACTGCAGTTAGATTAAAAAAACCAATAAAACTATTTAAATAAAGGTTAATAAGTGCTCTGTTACCTGAACTTGGTTGGGGTGTTCTGATGCTACTGAGCCAAAATGAGGAAAAAAAAATGACACAAGTGTTGCTAAGCACCAGAACAGTTTCTAAGATATTTCAAAAGCTGTAACATCCAGCCAAGCACCTACTCCTTGGGAACAACAGAAGTTCAGTTGGATTTCAGGCTCTGCTGATTTCTGAAGGGAGTGCTGATTCATGGAGTAGAAGGAGGTAGGAAGCTGCCTCCACACCAGGATATCTTCTGAAGAAAATATCCCATTACCATTTCTGATGGGAAGGTCAAGAGATCTGATCCCAGGGTCTAGTATTCAGCTTAATGCTACAGTAATGGGACCTTTGGCATCTAGCTCTGTAACTGGCAGGCTGGTAACTGTGCACCCCAAAAACACCTAAGTGTCTATTTATGTCCTGAAGGAAAAGTCTGTCCCATCGAGATTTCCTATTTTTACACTCCATGCATTTCTGTTTAGCTGCCTCAGGAGTCCTGTGTACTGGGTTCACACCTTTTTCAGCTAGCTGGGTGGGGTTGGTGTTGACTTTTCTAATGGTATTTATCAAGCAAAGGGATCTTTCAAGGTCATCCAGTCCAACCCCCTTGCAGGGAGCAGGGACATCTGCAGCTAGAGCAGGGTGCTCAGAGCCCTGGTCTACCTGTGCCAGTGTTTCACCACACTCATAACAAATATCTTCCTTCTATCCAGTCTAAATCTGCCCTTTTTAAGCTTAAAACCATCACCCTTTTCCCTGTTGTACCTGCTAATTGTACCTATAACATACCCTGCTAAAAAGATGTCCCCATCTTTCTTCCAGACCCCCACGTTAGGAGATGTGTAACTAGATCATATCAGGCACATCTTCTTCTCTCGAAGGTATCCTAGTGAATAACCTTCATGGGTCTTGAGCCTTCCCTGAAGCATTCAAGAGGGTGAAGATAAATCTTCACCATGCAAATCCCTTCAGGGATGTATTTGTGACCTCAGGTACCACAAAGTAGCCCCAGCTCCTCCATGGTGGGGGCTCAGGATGGGGACGTCTCTTTGTGTCGTTTCCTTCTGATGTTAATTCCACAACCCCAAAACCTGGCTCTGCATAAATTACTGAAGGAGAAGTGATGAAACTGTCCCTCTTGGGAGACAAAGTTACAACATGCCTTCTAAATGGGGATAGGATAAAATTCAGAAGTAGGACAGAGGACAGGTCTTCAGATGAAAGTAGTTGCAGACAACAGCCAAGCCCTTGTGACAACTGAGACATCCATAACTCCAAAACCTGTGCTCTCTTTCTTCATGTCTCTCTTTTCTCCCTGAAATGTCCAACATTTAGCTACTCTGTGTTGAAAACTAGAGAAGAGAAGGCTCTGGGGAGGACCTTCTTGTGGCCTCTCAGTATTTAAAGGGGGCTAAGTAAGAAAGATGGGGACAGAGTTTTTTTAGCAGGGTCCGTTGCAATTAGCACTGAAAATTTGAGCCTGTGAGTTGATCATTGTTGAGTCTTTATCTGTGCAGAGGATTGTAATGTTAAGGAGTAATCCCATGTGATTGGCTGTGGAAGTAGGAGTATTGTACGTCTGTGTGTAGCACAGCCCAAAATCATCTTAGAATCATAGAATCATAGAATCCTTTAGGTTGGAAGGGACCTTCAAGATCATCAAGTCCAACCATTGAGCCATTAGGGCTCTAAAGTCCTCTGCTAAAACAGATCAGAATCTGTCAGGGTTGGAAGGGACCACAAGGATCCCCCAGTTCCAACCCCTCTGCCATGAGCAGGGACAGCTCCCACTAGACCAGGCTGCCCAGAGCTTCTCTCCATTCTCTTGGTTCTCCATCTCAAAATGATGCTTTATGAAGGTTGATTAGGGAGTGGCTTTGAGTTCAGTAAGCTTTTTTTTTGGTGAAGCACGGTGGCTTTTCTACTCTGATGTAAACTTCCTGCTCTGTTTTGTTTCTTCCCTTGTCCAGCTCCCAAAAAACCTCCCACCCAACCCCCAGCTGACCCTGTGGTGAAAAATAAAACAGAAACCTCAGTGACACTGGCGTGGTCCCCCCCGAAGATGAACCGCCCCGTTCCCATCGACGGCTACGTGGTGGAACGCAAGAAGCTCAGTGGCTTTACCTGGGTGAGGTGCCACGAGTCCCCTGTCCCTGCCCCAGAGTTCACGGTGGGCAACCTGTCAGAAGAGGCTGACTACCAGTTCAGGGTGTCCGCGGTCAACGCGTATGGGCAGAGCCCCTACCTGGAGTTCCCGGGGAGCGTGCGCCTGGGTGAGCACAAAACCATCACAGGACCATGGGTTGGGTTGGGTTGGGTTGGGTTGGGTTGGGTTGGAAGGGATCTTACAGATCATCCAGTTCCAGCCCCTCAGCCATGGGCAGGACACCTCCCACTAGAGCAGGTTGCTCCAAACCCCATCCAATGTGGCCTTGAGCACCTCCAGGGATGGAGCATCCACAGCTTCCCTGGGCAACCTGTGCCAGGGTCTCACCACCTTCATGGTGAAGAATTCCTTCCTTGTATCTAACCTAAATCTACTCTCTTTTAGTTTAAAACTGTTACCCCTCATCCTATCACTACACTTCTAAGTGGTCTCCCTCTACATCTTTCCTCTAGACCCCCTTTAAGTACTATAAGGCCACTATAAGGTCTCCTTGGAGCCTTCTCTTCCCCACCCTGATCAACCCCAACTTTCTCAGCCTGTCCTCATACAAGAGGTTTTCCATCTCTGTGGTCATTTTCTGGCCCTCCTCTGGACCCGCTCCAACAGGTCCATGTCCTTATGCTGGAGGTCCCAGAGCTGGATGCAGTACACCAGGTGGAGCCTCGTGAGAACAAAGCCTAGAATAATAGAATCATTTGGGTTCACAAAGACCTTTAAGATCACTGAGTCCAACCATTAAACCAAACACCACCAAGCCCACCACTGCCCCATGTCCCTCACACCACATCTCCACGGCTTTAAAACCCCTCCAGGGGTGGGCTCAGTGTAGGCTCAGTGGCCTCCTTAGCATCCTTCTGAAATCTAAGAATACTACTGGTTATTAAAGAAATTACACAGTTCTTGGGGAACCCACATGTTTCAAGCTTCTTACACCTTTAAACATCTTAGGAGGGTAAAAAACCCAAGTAAAATATTCCTGTGGTTCTTTCCATGCAGAGACAGGACCCACCCTACTGCTGGAGGTCAGTTACCTGCAGCTGTAGAAGTCAAACCCTGTTGACCCACTGCTTTCAATGCATGGAAACTGTATAAGGCTGTAGGATTTTATTCTTATGTCTTGTTTACCCCCAAAACTTTGTTCTTAGGGAGATCTGTTCTCCAGCATGGCACTCTTCTGTCCTCTGAACTCAGAGATATGTTGTTTTCCTTCCCCAGAACCAGTCCTGGCTGTGAAAACCCCCCTGACGACTGTTGAAGCTGTACCTGGAGGGGATGCCCTGTTTACTATTGACCTTACAAAGACATGTTCTGGGACTTGGTACCTCAATGGCAAAGTCTTACAGGAAAGTGAGACCTACACCATTAGGAGAACTCAAACGACTCACACCCTCCTCATAAAGAACGTCACCAAGAGCCATGATGGAGCAGAAGTGAAATTTGTTGCCAATAATGTTGACACCAGCACCAAGATGAGAGTGAAAGGTATTTACTTTGATCATTGCCCTTCCTCCTCCTAGTCATGGGGCAGTTGCTGTGACTTGATGAGGACTGAGGTTGGAGGTTTTCACTGAGGTCTGTAGGAAGCACCTGAAATTGCATCACATGAACCAGTTTGGCTCCTGGTAATGACCTCACCACGGCAGCACAGAGTACAGAGTGAGAGGACCTAGGCTGCTCATGAACTTCTGTAGTTCACACCCACCAGAGAGTGGATTTCATCACTGGATCTACCCCTGAGTCACTTAGACCAGTCATTTCAGCTCCAGATTCTGGCCAGTCCTTCTGACTGCAGTCGAGTCTTTCAAAAGTAAAGGCTCATTAATGACTAATAAAATATTTTTCCTTGGAGATTTTTTAGTCTATCACAGAGGTGTGTGATCTACAGCTTGGTATCATGCAACTCAATTTAGGGTTGAGAGTTGGGTGCTCCAAATTTCCTCTGTGGAACACCAGGAAGTTTTGTATCTACCCACCTTGCATGGCAAAAAGTGATGAACAAATAGATGTTCATTCTGGAAGGATGTTTGACTTGGGGTGAAAATCTCTGCAGCAGGTTTAGAGTATTATTAATCTGTAGAAAATCATGCTTTTAAATTATTATTTTTTAAAATTATTTCTCTGGCAATGAAAACAGATCAAGTTTGGTGAACTGGACAAAAAAATTGCTTGGTGCTGATATGATTGTGAAGGGAGGAACAAGACTTAATATTTCTTTCAGAGATCCCACAGTCTGCAGCAGACTTTTATAGAGGATTTTTCATCTCAATATAACCTGAAATCACAAAGTCTTTCTCCTGACAGGTGCTGCAGTGAGGTTTACCAACAGGAGCAGGGATGTAGAAAAGCTCTCTGCTCGGCTGCGGGAGGAAGCCAAGCTTCAGGCTGAGCTCTCAGACACAGAAGCTCCCGTGAAGTGGATGAAGGATGGAAAAGAACTCAAGGCCAGTGAAAAATATGAACTTCAAACCCTAGGGAAGAAACGGATCCTGAAAATTCACAACACTGCAGCAGAGGATGCTGGAGTTTATGAGTGTGTCTGTGAAGGGGATAAAATGCTCTACCAGCTTTCAGTGAAAGGTAGGTGACTGATACTGGCCAAGCCATGGAGGTGCCAATTCCTGGTCCAAGATCATCTGGGCATTGTGGGATCTTTTTTGTTGTTGTTATTTCTTTGGGGTTTTTTTGTTGTTTTCTGTCAATACCCTGGTGCAGGAGAACAGACCTTTCCAGGGCACACTGGGTGCCTTGACTTGTTGCTACTTGTAAGATATTCAGAGGGAAAGGTCTCTAGAACAACCAGCAAAATGTCATTTTCTTTGGAAATTTCCCATCTGTTAGGCTTGAACCAGTGGTGTTTTACAGCTGCCCTGTTGTTCAGCAGTTCTTGTTTTCATGGCAGTCCCTTTCCTCCTGATTGCTTGCTACCTAGCTGGTGGACACATCCAATCCCAGAGAGACCTATGGAGTGTTGAATCTTTACCTTAAAACCAACAGCATTAAACCTCCCTCTTCCAAGCCTTCCATCTGTGCAAGCTTTTCTGAACTCGTTCAGAGGAGAGTTTTCTCTGCCTTGAAGGAGACCAGGTTTGGGCTGAAAAGCCCCAATGTATCCCCAGATCATTCCCCATGGTGATCATTCCATCATCAAGATGTCCACTGAGGTTCAGAGCATAAAACCTGACTCAGACAGTCTAGTCTGTTGTCAGACATCATCTGGGGGGAGCTCCATAGCTCTTTATTTGGCTTTGAGCTGGCAGGTTCACTTTGTAGAGCCTTTTGACTTCTGTGTTCTGTCCCATAATTCATCCCTCACCTTCTTCCTGGCAATGAGCACACTGGTTCTATACCAAATAGATAGGAGGTGCTGCAGCATCTTATTCTGCTGGCTTCTCACCCTCCTGTAGAAGCCACAAAGCCCCAGAGCATTGTCTGTTTTACATTTGACAACTTATTCTCAAAAAGCAAACTGAAAATGAAGCATGAAGAGAGCAGGAACAGTAATTCAATGAGGTGACTACACTTGCAGAGGGAGGAATTTGCTGTCTGCACTTGGCAGCTGCTCTTCATTTTGGTTTTCTTCTCTCTCTTTCTCTCCCTCCCTGCCTCTTTACCATCATCTGTCATGCTGGCAGATCTCAAATTAGCTGCTGGGTGTTTCCATGTGCACATTTTGCTGTCACGTGGCTCTCAAATCCATGGTATTAGTGTAAAATCTGTGTTGACAAGCTGTAACTTCAGCATCTGCTGTTGGTAGCTGGATTCCCAGGGAATCAGCTTTGCTCTGTCCCACCCCTGGAGGGTCAGGCTCCCCAGGGCTGTTTCTGTGGTTTACCTTCCAGCATTGCCACCTCCCTGCTGATCCTCCTGTAAACCAGATGCAGGTCTCTGGTGGATCCTTTGGTGTGCAGGTCAGCTGGGCCTGGCACGTGGGCATCACGTGGCTGCTGAGAGGCCACCGTGCTGAGCCACGGCCAGAGGTGTGTCACTTGCTGGGCCTCCTGCCCAAAAAAAAACCCTGCTGGAAGATGCACTTGCCATCTATCACGTCAGTCTCTCCACTGCCATGAGGCTTCACGTGCCATCCCCTGACACATGACCTCCTACGTCGAAATGGGACATCTGAGAAGGTTCCTTCAGCCTGCTGTGGTTGTATTTTTCACTCTGGTTTTCTCAGGAAGTGAAAGGTGCATGAATGAACCCATTTCCCTCTTTTTTCCTCCCAAAATTTTTACCCTGTGGGCTGAGTTTGAGGAGTACTGGTGGAGAAGTTGAGGTCTCAGCAGTGTTCAGCCCCTGCAGGCTTCATGGGCTGGTGTGGTTGGGTAGAGAAGAGCTGCAGTGTTGTCCAGCTGAAGGGAAAGCTTCACTCTTCTGAGTCATTAGAGAAACAAGTGGAAACAGAGCCCCCAAGTAAAAAAAAACAACCAAACAATAATAAAAAAGGAGGTTTTCCCTGCTTTAAATGCTTCTAGAATGACTTCTTCACCCAGAGGTATTGCTTCTAATAAGCAGACTTAGTAAACTCTAGCCAACAGGGCTGATAGGACCTGGAGAAGTCAAATGCAAGCTCCTGTCCCTGCCAGAAGAATGAAAAGCCCTTTGAGGACCTTGACTGCACCATCAGGACCTTCCCTTTTCTTCTTTGTTGGCTCGTTGGGTATTTCTTAGCCTTAGATGGGGGGAGATTTTTTCCCTTTTTCCCTTTTTCCCTTTTTCCCTTTTTCCCTTTTTCCCTTTTTCCCTTTTTCCCTTTTTCCCTTTTTCCCTTTTTCCCTTTTTCCCTTTTTCCCTTTTTCCCTTTTTCCCTTTTTCCCTTTTTCCCTTTTTCCCTTTTTCCCTTTTTCCCTTTTTCCCTTTTTCCCTTTTTCCCTTTTTCCCTTTTTCCCTGTGGGACTGGGGTTTCCTTTCCCTTTTTCCCTTTTTCCCTTTTTCCCTTTTTCCCTTTTTCCCTTTTTCCCTTTTTCCCTTTTTCCCTTTTTCCCTTTTTCCCTTTCCCTGGGTGCTACTTGCCAAGTCAATTCATTCCTCCTTTATAGATCTCTGGACTCTGGCATTAATTATAATGTGAATAATTTTATTCACATTAATATGTGACTAGAAAATAATCACATATTATGTGATATGAAAAAAAAAATCACATTTTTTTCGTGATTAAAAGCACTGCCACAGCCTTGGAAAAATCTAATGTACTTAAACCCAAGGAAACTAGATGCAAAATTCATCCTTGTGGGCAGGGCCTTTGAGCTGAAGGAGAACCCCCATGTGCTGGGGGGTCAGCAGGAGGCTCAGAGCTTGGAGCTGCTCTAGACCATGCACTGTAACTGCTTCTTGCAGGACCAGCAGTGAAAGATAATAACCTGCTTTGCCAGGCATTCTGCAGAGAGCTGCTAATATTTATTGTGCTGTATTTTCTTGGAATTAAGGGAAAAAAATCCATAGACAAAATCAAGGCTTTGTTTTTAGTAGCTTTGGCTTCACAGGCCCAACAAAGTGATTTGATTGTGTGTTATTTTAAAATAATACTTTAGGAATGTGTTTGAAAATTATTTTCCTTTCTCTAAATTAAATGGGGCTGTGGTTTTAGGCTCAGATTTTTAGCTGGGATATGGGTGAGGGTTTGAATCTTGGCTTTGAGGCAATTAGTGACTCAATTATCCCACTGCATGTTAACATGGAGCTGGATTTATTATTTATCTTCTGTGCACCAGTTCATTTCCAAGAAGAAATTTCATTTCAGCCCTATGTGAAATCTGTATAGATGTTTAATTTAATATAATTTAGTTTATCTAGATGACATTTAAACTTCTTTTAGAGTCAATTTATTTGCCAAGTGGTTACAACAGAATGATTGAATAACTTTCATTGTTTTCCTTCCAGTTTACTTCTTTCATTTCTTTCCTCACCTCTCTCAGATGTTTTCTTGGAGGTCCTATTGCTTCTTCTCTCCTTGCCTGAGCCTCCTGTGTTGTACACATGCTCTGATTTTTGGGCATGAGATAGTCAGGTATAGGGTTTACAAAAGCCAGAAATCTGGCTGCTTCTACATTATAATTTACTAATTAGATCCATAATTAAACATCCATATGAGGTCTTAGAATAAATCACTACCTAACGTAGATGTAAGTGTCCATATTTATTGATGTCCACAGAATTTTTTACCCGTGCTTTGTGTCCATATTTTGTTTCAGCACTTGGAAACTTCATAAACAAAGAGAAAAGTGGAGGAACTGTCAAGGCCATTGCTGGAGGACAGGCTGAATTTGTCTCTGAGACCTCCGAGGCCAATGTCCTGGTGAAGTGGTACAAGGATGGCAAAGAAATCACAGCCAGCAAGAAATTCACCCTGGAAGATAAAGGGAAACTGCATAAGCTTGTGGCTTCAGCTGTGACCAAAGAAGATGAAGGAACATACACGTGCAAAATTGGAGATGACACTCTTATTTTTGATTTAAAAGTCTCAGGTAAGTTTGTGATGCAAATATGGGATTGGAGTCTGTTTAGAAGCTCAGGACTTTGTTCATGATACTTGTCTTACATTGTAAATGGGCAGATTTTGGGGCCAAGAGTGCACAGCAGAGATTCTGACCCTTACTGTGGTCCTTAAGCAAGCCCACAACTGCAGTCATGACTCCAACACCTCACGGGCTGAGGGCCACATCTGCCCTTTCCTCCTTCAGCTCAGCGTTGCCCTTGAACCTCCTCATGGAGGTGGCCCTAAAGTCTCGCTGTGAAACCCTCCTTTGATAAGTTTAACTCTTGATTTTTGAGAGTAGGCATCTCCTGCGTGTCCTCAAGGATCTTTGAGCCATCTCCCTGCAGTACTACTCTAAGTGGAGCCATTTGCTCATGGCACATGCCCACCAGCATGAAGCACGTGCTAAAGCACGTGGCTGTCAGCCCAAGCCCAGAAGAGAAAGGCTTGTCACTGATGTGTTCCTGGCCAGGATGGAGCCAGGGGATAAAATGACACAAGAATTTATCCTGTGAAATCCAATATCTGTGAAATTCAAGTGATGCAGTTTGTACGGGCAGGTGGGAAACTTTCTTCTAAAAGTGGTTTTCTGGCTTATTTCTGGAGCCTGATTCTTCACCCAGTCCTAAGGTACAGGTTGAAACTCTGCTGGAAGCTTCTCGTGGTTTATAAGCAGTAACAACAGAGTGTTTCTGACCTGTAATGGTGCAGCCATGACACAGAGATGCTAATTAAGAACTCATCAGCACTGATGAGGCTGGCTGGTCTGGACTGATGGCTACCAGGTTTGCTGAGCTGGAGAGATCCCTTCCAGCTGACGACTGGTGTTTGCTGAGGTGTTCCCTCTGCATCTCACCTCCTGCTCAATTCGGTGGAGGATCCAACGTTCTGTAGTTTCCCTGTGAGTGTCCCCATCCCTGGAGGTGTTCCAGGCCAGGTTGGATGGGGCTGGTTAAGCTCACCTGTAACTCCTATGACAAACCATCCCATGGCTCAGGCAAAGAAAACTGGTATCTGCTAAATAACTGGGTGTCCCCAGGAACATTTGGATGAACGTGGATGGAGTTACAACCTGTTAACAAAACCTTAGCTAGGGCAACTTCCATCTTGTCTCACGTGTCACTAGAGAAATTTTCCAGGGTGCTGAGAAGCAGCACAGGACAAGCAGGGGGTGGTCTTGGGGCAGGGAGTTGGTGTGTCTTCATCATAATAGTCTTGAACAGCAGCATTCTGGTGGGACTAATCTTTGTTCCACTAACTTTTAAGAATAGATCAGTCCTAATGGTTACAATTTTTAATGAAATACTTTTTCTCTGGTGGCCCAGACGTGCCTGGCACGGGTGTAGCTCAGCAATAGTCCTTGGGAGACTCCGTGACTGAAAGCAACAGTTGCTGCTAGCAGAAATGCAATACTGAGCTGAGGTTGGTTCTGACTGACAGCCATCAGCTTGCTCTTCAGGCAATGATGCCTCCTCCATGGCATGAGGGGTATGAAATCCCTGGCATGCTCATCAAATACTGCTCGTTAGCTGAGGGACAGGGTGTGTGGAATAGGTTTGCTCCCGTTTCACACGCGAGGTGCCTGGCTCCACTTCCTTAGCTGCTTTTGCTTTTACCTTGACAAATGCAGGTTGATCAAGGTTTTATCAACCTTTATAAACCTAGGTTGACAAAAAAAAAAGCTGGTTTGTTGCTCCATACGTGACACGTGCTCTGTGTGAACATGCACAGCTCGTGTGTGGCCACTCCGTGCAGTCAGCGGGGTCTGAGCTGAGGTGTCAAAGCAGGAACCTCTACTGCTTGGGCTACATGAGCTCTGAGAAGTTGGGAGTTCTCTGCTGTGAAGACCAGAAAGCTGTGACACTGTTGGCTCATGTATTAACTTAGTCCTCTGGGAGCTGGAGAACATTGTGTCGATGAGATTCTCCCATCTCTACCCTGGTCTGGGGATGAATTAGCCTGGTGGGACTGACAGTGTGAACATGAGGCTGCAGGAATGGGCTCAGAAACGTTTAAAGAAGGCTCCTCATCACTTCTAACAATTTTCTGAGGCTTCCTAGATCTTTTCAAAGCTGTTTGTGTACTCTGGCATCAATACATATTCCCTGGAGCTTGCTTGAAATCAGAAACAAGGAGTGGTGATTACAGTGTCAACAACTTGAGGGTGGCTCAGCTTGATTTGAAAGATCCAGAAGGATGTAAGAGGGATGAATGTGATTGCACTGGGACCACGAGCAATTATCTGAAGATCAGAGGAGGAGTTTGCACCATCTGTCAGAAAGTCAGGCATCAACATTCACGCATGTGATGAGACAGGAGCTGTGAATTAAAGCTCATGTCAGGCTTTGTGGTTTTGTTGGGCCAAGTTCTGCTCATGGCTCACTGCACGTACAACCCTGGTGATGGAAACCACCACGGCTGTGCTCTGTAAGACCTGTCTGAAAGGGGTGCAGAAGATGGATGCCCACCAGTTGGGTGAACATAGGTGGGCTTAGATCCACGTGTATCAAGAACTTAAGGCCACGGTGTAGACCTAGTAGAGAGATTAGTAGGTTAATTAATAGGTTAATTGACATTAATTCTAAATCCTGGTATTGAAGGATTTGTCAATACTCCCCACCTGAACTGGAGACCATTGTGTGTTAACTGTGTGGAGGATCTGGAGGATGAGTCCCTTGGTAGAGGTCACGTTGATGGATCTCAGGAGGGACTTGGCTGACTCCTCATGACAATTTTTGCCATACCTGTTAGCACTCTGTCATGGTTCCATTCCACCCATAGTACCACCCCCACAGATGCACATTTACACCTCCAGAGACAAAACTGGATCCCCCAAGTGTGACCACCATGAAATAATGAATAAAGCCTGAATCGAGCTATAAGCTGCTCTAACTTTTCCTTTCCAGATGAAGCTGTTAATTTTGTCAATAAGCCCAAAACAACTCCAGAAATATCAGTCAGGCCTTCTGAAAACCTGGAGCTGGTGTGTGAGGTGTCGGCAGCCAGCGGAGCCGTGGTGTGGAAGAAGGATCAGAGTGAGGTGAGGCAGGACCACAGGACAACAGTCATCTCCCAGGGGACACAGCGCAAGCTTATCGTCAAGAAGGTGACACAGCAAGACCAAGGGAGCTACACTTGTGAAACAAAGGACGACAGAACAACATTCCAAGTCAAAGTCAGAGGTGAGGAGGTGCTAGAAATGCCAAAGAAAAAGGAATATTCCATTTTGGGGGGTATGTTACATTTGGAGGATCACCTCAGAACCTCTCCGGGGTGAAATAGAACTTGATTTTTTGGCCAGCTGTCACACCAATATTTTATACACACACTTTTTTTTTGCATCCTTTGAATAGTTGTAACCACAAAACAGAAATATGGGCAAGAATGATAATTTTGGCACCTCTCACAATTAGCTGGTGTGCCTGCAGAAAAACCCCTGCAGGATGTTAGTGTGAGGCCATAACAGGGGTGCAAGGGTAGATGAAATGGAAGGGAGAGGTGTTTGGTGAGCTCTCCAAATGACTGGCTTTGGAGAATGATGGAGGATGGCTGACTTTGGCCCAAATAAGCAGAAAAAGAGCACTGGTTCCTGGATATGAGGATAGGAGCTCTGTTCCCTTCTGACTCCCTGGAATCTTGGAGAGAAATAGGAAGAGGAAAAAAAGAAGAGGGTGGAGAGCTCAGGAAGTTCATGTTGGTACTCAAATTGTGAGTTCCCATACAACTATTCACCTCCTGTCAAGCAAAATGGAGATGCAGGTGCTGTCTTGACATAAAGGACCATCATGATACTACCTGCCAAGGGCAAGTAGGGTGAAATAGGGAGAACTTCATTATGCAGTGGAGAATAAAGCTGCAAAAAGCCATGTGTGACTGTTGTGGCTTTCTTACAGAGAGAGAAGACGTGTTTACACACAAGGAGAAGGTGCAGAAGGAGGTGAAGGCTGCACTGGCACAGAACACCACACTGAGCTGCGAGGTGGCCCAGGAGAAGACTGATGTGAAGTGGTACAAGGAGGGGAAGCTGATCACCTCCAGCAAGAAGTTCAAGGTGGAGTCAGAGGGCAAATCCCGTCGCCTGGTGGTGGCTCAGGTGGAGAAGAAAGATGCTGGGGAGTACACCTGTGAGGCTGCTGGCCAAAAAATGACCTTCAGGATCGATGTCACAGGTAGGAGACGTTTTGGTTGACATTTCATTGCCATTTCTTTGTGTGTGGGTAGTTTCTTCTGTTTTCTCTCTCAAAATGTTGGAAATGCTGTTGAAGTACTTTCTGATGTTGGTCTAGGTCATTATTTCATTGGGGGTTATGCAGGACTGGGCAGGTTTAGAGGTTGCATGTTTGTATCCTGATACCAAGATATGTCTCCTTAGTCTAAGACAAGGAGTTGAGAGTGTTCATTAGCAGGCACTCTATTAAAGCTCCTCTTCCAATCCCATCATCATTATTGGTGTTCCTCCTTTTGTTTTGACCATTCTTCCATGGAAGAAGTCACTGTTTTCTTCCCTTTTTGTTTCACCTTTTCTCAACATAATATCCTCCCTCCAAAAATAGAGAACTGCTTCAGATCTTCCACCCTCTGGCTGTGCAACCTCAGAACTCCATGCACCACGAAACTTTTGCAGATGATGGATAGAAATGGATACAGCCATCTGCAACTTGACTTATGATTTGTATTTAACAGCCTTTCACCCAGCTCTTCCTCTACCACCTCTTCCATCTGTCATCAGATACCCAGTTGTGGTTCGTAAAGCTCTGAGAAGTGGTGCAAGGGCTTGTGGGCCAAGAGATCTTTAAATGGTAGCATTTCCAAGATCCATACTTTATTGTGGCTTCATGGAGAATGTTTGGGAGCTGATGGTAGTCTACTGTCCTAAAAATTTTTCATCAGCTACACTGCACATATCTGTGATCTGCTGATGACTCTTCATGGTGGTTTCTACATCTTCAATGACCAATCATGGTCCAGGAATGTTAATTTACATTTGCAAATTTCTGCTTAATAGAATGATTTGGAGTCTGAGGGTTTAATACTGAGGCTGTTCTTGGACTACACTAGAACTTTCTTGGGTCTCAGTAGCTTTTGCAAGAGGTCCAGTAAATTTTATCTGCTCCAATCTGAGTGGTCATTTCTGGCTGGATGATAAGAAAGGAATTTTGTCCTTGCAGGGCACAGCTCTAGTGCTGTTCCCTTGTGAAGGCTGCAGCCTTTACTGCTCTCCCACTACCTGAGGGCATCCTGGGCTGCTTCAAAAGAAGCATGACCAGGCAATGAAGGGAGGTGATTCTCCCCCTCTGCTCCACTCCCATGAGACCCTACCTGGAGTGCTGTGTCCAACCCCAGTGTCAGAAAGGCATGGACCTGTTGGAGCCAGTCTACAGGAGGCCGTGAAGATGATCAGGGGGCTGGAACATCTCTGCTGTGAGACCAGGCTGAGAGATTTTGGGTTGTCCATCCTGGAGAGGAGAAGGCTCTGGGGAGATGTCACAGTGGCTTTCCTGTAAAGAGGGCCTACAGAAGAGATGAGGAGGGACTTTTTATGAGGGACTGTAGTGACAGAATGAGTGATAACAGTTTGAAACTGAAAGAGGAGCAACTTAGATTAAATATTAGAAAGAAATTCTTCACTGTGAGGGTTGTGAGACACTGGTGCAGGTTGCCCAGAGAAGTCATGGATCTCATCTCCCTAGAATTGTTCAAGGCCAGGTTGAATGGGGCTTGGAGCAACCTGCTCTAGTGGGAGGTATCCTGCCCATGGCAGGAGGGTTGGAACTGGATGAGCTTTAAGGTCCTTTCCAACCCAAACTCTTATGATTGTATGATTCTGTGCTCCCTCCATCTTCTGTGTGCAACTGCTGCTGTAGCATACAGCTTTGCTGCTCCCCATTGCATATGTTTAAGTCATCAACTGCTGCATCCACGCTCTGTGTGGGGTGCACAGGGCAGGAGCTGGGGCATTTTGGCTCTTTTTAATTAACTGTGTAGCTCCTGCTTTTGGCTCAGGGAGCTGCCAGTTTCAGTGAAGGATGGGCTGCAGGAAGGCAAGATTTGAGAGGCACCTTTAGGTGAAAATGCAACATGGGCATTGATAGAAAGGGTTTTGGGGTGTCAAGCAAGTTCAGGCTCAGCTGCTGAAACCAGTTCCCCCATCACTGCGGTGGGGTAGCTGGAAATCACAGAAATGCAGTGCTTTTCCACTCAGATTTCTCTAGCTGAGGACTATTCTTAGCTGCCTGCCTCAGAAACCAAAGGCTTTCAGTTCTCTTTCAAACAGGCTGACTTCAGGGCTGGAGAGGGTAAGGTAACACCTCTCCCCCTCTCTGCAAGAGCAGAGCCCTTGCCTAGCTACCGTTGCTGTATTCCTCCTGTGTACCCCTGGGACATGACATGCAAGTGCAGCACTTGCTGGAAAATGATCCAGTGTGAAAGTCAGGAGGGATTATGAGTACTCTGAGCTCTTTGGTTGGCTCTTTGCTTGCAGAAATCCTCGTCTTGCTAGATTATCCCAAAGTGCAATGGCTTTCTGGGTCTTAATTTATCCTGTTACCACTGCACTCGGAAAGGTTTCCAGGGTTCCTGTACTCCAGGGCTCCAGTGGTAGCACAAACCCTTCCCTATTTAAGGACAGCTTGAAGGTTAGAGGTTCAGGGTTGAGTATTTGGATGCAGTTGTGGCTTTTTGGCTGGAATATTAACAGAACCAGGTGCTGCCCACCTTGGACCTGAGCTAGGTGTGTAGCCAAAAGAGCTGATGCTGCCATCTCATTAGTCCAAGAATCGTGGTATAAAGTGGAATCTTTATCTGAAATAAATCAGAGCTCTGTGTCCTGTAGATGATTTTCTTCAGTGTCAGTGGAACTTCACTCAGCATCTGCAGCTGAGGTTAGAAATGTCATCTGAATGCTGGTTTAACTTTAAAATACCTTTCTCAGACAAATTACTAGCTGGTGTAAATCAGTTTGTAAGCTGATTCAAAGATCTGGTCACACTTTCTGTCGTTATAAAAATGGTTTCTACCAAAAAAAGGCAAGAATGCAGAGGACCAGTGAGTAACACCTGGAATATTCCTGCTCTGCTCACTTGTCATTTTAAACACAGCACCCCATGTACACAGCCTGGTTTGTAACCCCTGAGTTTAGTGAATAATTCCAGTTTGGTTGGAAGCTGATATGTTTGTGTCTCCACAACCTGTTTTGATGCAAACCACAGAGTGTGCTTGAGCTCTGTTAGATCTCCAAGTGCTGCTCAATCTGCAGTGGGATGACAGGTGCCTTGGAGGAGTTTTGCATCACTCAGCACAGACCCTGTTTGCTGCCTGGTTGGTGACACCTTTGATGACAATGACACCTCCTCACAGCACTTCTACAGCCAAGACAAACAGAGGAGATGAAGTTTAGAGGGCACAAGTTGGGTTTCTGCTTGGGCTTGCTCCTTGTGGGGCCCTTCTCTTCCCATGGATTGTGTAATCTTGATGGGAAGCCTTCTGATGGGGCTCCCAGGATGACAAGGAGTGTCGTGGTCAGCAGTGTAGGAACTTGACCTGAATTTACCCCTGCTCCTTGCCCTCCCAGGCTGCTGCTGCCACTCAGGTTACAGACATGACAGAGATGGTATGCAGAGCAGAAAGTCATCGAGGAGGAGAAAAAAGGGCTGTAGGAGGCTGCAGAGAGAGACTTGGGGGAGGAAGGCAGGAGCACAGGTTGTGGGAGGGGTTCATCGTGGCTGCCATGGAGAGCCAAGGGTCTCCTAGGTCACCCTGGCCAACAAACATGGGTGCTGGAAGCTGGCTGGATGAATTATCTCCCAGACTTTCTGAAGGGGAATGGCAACAGCAGACACTTGTTAGTCCCACCTTTGTCTTTGGAGCCTACTCTTCTGTAGCACTGAAATCATAGAATGGCTTTGAGTAGGGAGGGACCTTTAAAGGTCATCTCTAGTCCAACCCCCCTGCAATGATCAGGGACAACTGTAGCTAGAGCAGGTTGCCCAGAGCCTTGTCCAACCTCACTTCATGGGTTTCAATGCTCAAGTTCATCCCTGGGACCCAAACAGCCAAAGGCAGCCTGTGCTGAAGGCTGGGTGGTCGTTGCTATGTGAGGTCCATCATGTAGCCCTACCACAACTATTTTACACTTCTCATGCAGTTATTTCTTTGGGTAAATCAATGGAAATAAAAAATCAGGACCCTGTTTATTTAAGGTCTATATTTCTTCTCACATCTCAGTTGTACTCTCCTATAAAATCTAACAGTGACCACACCAGCTAATGTAAAAGGAGAACAGGGTAAAAAAAAATCATTAATCAGTAAAAGATGCAATTTATCAGTCAGTCCTACTTAGGCAGGTGACAAATGAATCTTTTCAGTGCTATCCCTCACTAACTACTAATTACACAAGCTAAATTTTGGTGCCAACTCCACTTGTTGAGGTGGAATTTCTACATGGTACTGTGGGGAAAAAAGTGATGGATAAAACATTTCTTGTTGCTCATGTTAGGTATTAAGAGAAGGTTCCCTGTGGCCAGTTTTCTGAAAACTTAGAGAGTTCCAAGGAAAGAAAAGTATTCTTCAAATTTTAGAGGCTAGTTTTAGGTATAATATAACCAAATACTTTTCCATATTAATGACTGTATCTCTCTCACTTCTTTGGGACTGAATTACAAGATATTTTCTCAACCACACCCACTCTTAATCTAAGATACTAGTTGCTGGTAAATTCCTGTAAATAATGTGATAGTGAAGGTGGCAGCTCATAATAGTTCCATATTGAGCCAGTTCCAAATGCAGTGTGTAGAAGTAGCATAAAAACACAAAGGGGGACACTTAAGTTTGTCTTCCTTGGAAGAAATTTGAAAATGGGGGAGACAATCTGTTAATGAAGAGTAGTCAGAGAGGTACATGAGTGGTCAGGATTGCATTTTGAGGGTGCATTGTTGCACGTGATCAACAGAACTGCAAAGGAATGCTGTTACAAGATCATGATCCTGTAGAGCACCTACACAAAATCATCTACTTGCAAGATATTTATATCTTATGTATTTTTTTTCCTGTTTCAGAGGCAGAAGAACCATTTATGAACAAGGAGAAGGTGCAGAAGGAGGTGAAGGCTGCACTGACACAGAACACCACACTGAGCTGCGAGGTGGCCCAGGAGAAGACTGATGTGAAGTGGTACAAGGAGGGGAAGCTGATCACCTCCAGCAAGAAGTTCAAGGTGGAGTCAGAGGGCAAATCCCGTCGCCTGGTGGTGGCTCAGGTGGAGAAGAAAGATGCTGGGGAGTACACCTGTGAGGCTGCTGGCCAAAAAATGACCTTCAAGCTTGACGTCACAGGTGGGAGACATATTTTAGTTCTCATCTACTTCCTGGGTTTTGAGAGTCTTTGTGGCCTAGATCTTCGTTGAGCAGTGAGGGAGATCAATCAACCAGGTTGTGTGCACCCATGGTCACACAGATGCCTACAGCTAGTTGTCTTTACCTGTGAGATGAATCCCACTCAGCATTCTTGTTGGATTCTGATTTGCCAGTAAGTTGGAGGCATAAAGGTAGGGCCAGGTCCCAGATGTGTAGGAAAATAGGTCTGGAATGATGCTCAAGAAGTACCTTGAGTGGGCAAGACTTGCATATGGATCCCAGTGGTGGATGAGGTTGGGTTCTTGGGTGTGCATCACATCAGGGAACAAAAAGTTGGATTTCTTCTGGATCCATTGGAATAGGAAGAGTCTTAACTCCTGGGACACGGGTTCATTTTGCTCAGAAATGTTTGATGTGTTTTCTGTAGGCTGGACAGAGGACCATGTCCTGCAGGTGGGACCACTCCAAAATGTTAAAGCTGTGGGAATTTCTCATAAGCAGGATTTTGCATTTAGCTGTGAATATTTGGACAGCGTGAGCAAATTGAAAATTTATGATTTAAAAATTTCTTCTCCCACCCTCCAGAAGCAGAGGATGCATTTATCAACAAGGAGAAGGTGCAGAAGGAGGTGAAGGCAGTGCTGAAGGAGAACACCACACTGAGCTGCGAGGTGGCCCAGGAGAAGACTGATGTGAAGTGGTACAAGGAGGGGAAGCTGATCACCTCCAGCAAGAAGTTCAAGGTGGAGTCAGAGGGCAAATCCCGTCGCCTGGTGGTGGCTCAGGTGGAGAAGAAAGATGCTGGGGAGTACACTTGTGAGGCTGCTGGCCAGAAACTCACCTTCAAGCTTGATGTCACGGGTGAGGCATTATCTGATTGCATGGGTTTTTTGCTGTCATTGGGTGGAAGGTCTCCTCATGACATAGATTTATTTCCTGCCTTGGTCCATAAGAGCCTGCAACAAAATTTAAGTTGTTATCCTAAATACTGACATTTAAGAATGTGTTTTGATGCTTTGGGAAAGAGAAAAGTCTGCTTCAGTGTTCTTGCCTTGATTTTGACTAGGAATGGTTATTAAGAAAAAGGATATAAGAAGAAGCCAAAATAAACTTGTAGGAGAACACTTTCTAGCAGCATTGGCTTGTTTTCTTCAGAAATGTTCTGAAGGACCTCCAAAAGATAAAATTCACACTCTTTGCATCACGATCCCACTTCTTTCCTTGTCTACCTATATTTCTGGTGCTAGAGTATCCCTTGCTGGGTGTCTCAGCCTCCTGCATGAGTTTGCTTCCAGTCTAGATTTTGGAAAATCTTGCTTCATTACTACAGTTCCTGACCCTCGAGATACACCTTTCCAGCAGAGTTGTCCTTCTTTCCATTCCTTATTTATGCCCTGTTGTTTGAAGGATTTTAGTGGGTAGTTATGTCTTTTTTCAGCTGTTCTTGCTGATCCTTTCATTCCTGTTCTTCTACTGAGCGAGGTATAGACTGAATAATGTGAAGATACCAGGTCTTCATGTTGAGTCTTGAACAAATTGTTCATCTCCTCTTCCCCAATCAGCTCTCCTAATTCATACAGGTTTGCTAGTTCCAAATAAGTGTGTTACTGAGCTATTTTTGTTAATTCCTCCATTTCCTGTAGACTCCATTGTCTTATGATCCCTATATCCAATGTTATTTCCCACACCCAGATACTAAAATGACGATCTTGGAGTTGACCAAAACTAAGCCTAAAATCAAATTAAGGCTCTTAATTAAATTCTTAATTCTTAATTAATCTGCTTGATTGGAGAATCTGACAAGCTATTCCATGTGGAAATCCAAGATGCTCTTGGTACAAATCCAGTGGAAGCAACCAAGATGAATAGTGGGCTGGAGCACAGGTTATGTCTGTTCAGGCTGGAGAAGAGAAGGCAAAAGAGAGTTTTTATTGTAGCCTGCAGATATCTAGTGAGAGGACATAGATTCCACAGTTCCACATTTTTCTCAAAGATTCATGGTGATAGAAGAGGCAAAATATACAAGTTGGAATGTGGGAAGTTCTGAAAATGTATTAGGAGAACGTTGCACCATGGGGTTGATCAAGCTCTGGAACAGGAGTCTTGAGGCTGTGGGACCTCCATGGCTGGAGGTGTTCAGAACTCAATGGGACATAGCCCTGAGTAGCTCTATGTAATTTTATCTGCTGTGAGTGAGGAAGTGGGACTGGGTGACCTCCAGAGATCACTCCTACCCTACATTATTTTATGACTGTGGTTTTGTACTATTAGTAGCACATGTTCTGTAAAACAGATCTGGGAAGTGGTTCCAGAAGGACACAGCTCCATAAAGTTCTTTCTGAAGGCACTTTATTATGCTTATATTTCATAACCCTTATTGTTTTGTTTTGTTTTATCCTGAATATTACTTGGACCTCGATATGGGGACTATGCTCACAAATGAAGGATCCTGCCTGGATTCTGTCCCCTTTACTGTCACTATGCAGCCCACAGATTTTTCCTTCTTTCCACTTTTGCAGAAGATGTGTTTGAGCACAAAGACAAGGTGCAGAAGGAGGTGAAGGCTGCACTGGCACAGAACGCCACGCTGAGCTGCGAGGTGGCCCAGGAGAAGACTGATGTGAAGTGGTACAAGGAGGGGAAGCTGATCACCTCCAGCAAGAAGTTCAAGGTGGAGTCAGAGGGCAAATCCCGTCGCCTGGTGGTGGCTCAGGTGGAGAAGAAAGATGCTGGGGAGTACACCTGTGAGGCTGCTGGCCAAAAAATGACCTTCAGGATCGATGTCACGGGTGAGTGAATTTGTTGCATTTCTGGTTTACATCCTAGTCCTGGAAAAACTTGGAGAGGAAAACGACGTGGCTGGGCAAATTCCACCTCAGCAGGCAGTGATGGAGCCAGTGTTTAAATTCTGCTGGTTCACTCATGCAGTTTTGTTCAAACTATGAGATCTGTCTCCCTTTGAAAACCAAGGCAGCAGGTGGATTTCTGTAGCCCAAGCCCTGGGCAGGTTGAAGATCACTGGAGATCTTCCATGGGAATCTGGTGGAGATGCTTGATAGAAAAATGGAAACTCAACTGCACGTTTAAAGGACATTTAAGTTGAAAGGACTAAAGGAAATTAAAGGGCACAAACTCTTCTGAGCACAAGCATTCTCTTGAAAATTCTGCTTTCTTAACTAAAGTCTCTCTTTATTATGGAGGAAACCTTTTTATTATGGCCTGTATCAAATGAAAGGAAAGACTAAACCTGATCTCAGAAGCAGCAGCTGAGGAAAACAGGTCTTTTCACCATGACTTTGGCAAGGGCAGGCTTTAACCTTGACATCCCTCAGGTGGATCTTGATGAATTTAAAGCAAATTGAGAAGCTCATATATTAAATTGATTTTTGATTGTGGCATGCTGTAGTGAAAAGCAAATAGGATAGGGCTGGCTAATTTTCATCTATTAGAGAAACATAATTCTAGGCTGAAACATCTTTGGGACATTTGGGAAATAAGGATATAGGCACAGAATAGGCTCACAAAGGGTTGGTTTGTTTGTTTTTGCAAAACCAGATTTGCTTTACTTGGCAAAGTAAATTGCAGAATTTGGGTTGTTTGGCCAATTTAATGCTGGTCCTTTTACAGCAAGTAGACTTCTTACAGACAGCAGCTACTGGTGTGCTGCTGGACATGAAATGATATGAATTTTCCTGCAGATTTTGGAGAATGATGGTGATAGAAATGAAAGCTACTTTGGAGCCATCTAAGCTCTCTTGGACTAAGAGTCCTTCACCAACGCTGGGTGTAATTCAGATGTTAACATTGAGTTGACAGTGTTGGCAGGGAATGTGGATGATAAACCCACCCTGATCCCCAGAATCCAAAGACTGATGTGTGTATTTGGGAAGTGGTGTGTGTGTGAAAGACTGATTCTCTCAATCTGCCCCCCTACCCTTAATTTCAGAGCCAGAAGATGCTTTCATCAACAAGGAGAAGGTGCAGAAGGAGGTGAAGGCTGCACTGGCACAGAACGCCACGCTGAGCTGCGAGGTGGCCCAGGAGAAGACTGATGTGAAGTGGTACAAGGAGGGGAAGCTGATCACCTCCAGCAAGAAGTTCAAGGTGGAGTCAGAGGGCAAATCCCGTCGCCTGGTGGTGGCTCAGGTGGAGAAGAAAGATGCTGGGGAGTACACCTGTGAGGCTGCTGGCCAGAAACTCACCTTCAAGATCAATGTCACAGGTAAGAGGAGATTCTTCATTCTATGATTCCTATTTCTAGAATATTTAGGAAAATGAATATTATTTCAGAAGATATTTTCCTGTCACGCTTCAGATTTTTGGAGGAGGTCTTTAGGATGGGCTGGCTCTCTCATGGAAATGGGAGAAAAGAGTTAAAAATACAGTTCTCTTTATATCTTCTGTGCAAAGCTTTATAAAACCCTTTAAACAGGGAACTTCATCCTTGGAAAAACCTTGGGAACTGCCCATATTGTAGGATAAGAGCTGTGAAAAAGGAAGTCCTGATTGCACATCTCCATCCTCACATGTTGGTGCTATAAACACCCATCTGCCACGACTGATCTCAGCACATTTTGGAGCAGGGTCATGGTGGAGAGCACTTGGGCTTTCCCTCCAATGTCTACACTCTTTGTCTTTCTCTTGGGAGGGCTCGTTTCAGCCTAAGAGGAGAGTATGGCAGTAAGGCTTGAGATGAGTTAAGGTATTGATGTATGTTAAGGTCTTTAAGGTGTCATAAAAATGGCCACTAGGGAAAGCAGGTGCCATGGAGA